CCCTTTGATTAGGTAACGAGTCAATATTACTCGCTGAATCTGGAGGCATGAATCCTGCCAGTGGAGGACCACCTTTACCACCATTACCACCTCCACAAGTACCTTGGCAATCTCATCATATCAGAGCTCCTTGGGGTAGACCTCCACCAATGCCAAGAGAAGAACATCACACGTTGTGTCCACCTAATTTACCACCCACGAATATGCCACCACCCCAGATAAGACCAAGAGGTATATCATAATTAACTTTATCAATTTATATCACAATAAATAATTTTGTTATTATGAAAATAGGTTATTTAGAAGGTAATCGTTCTCCTATTCAAAATACGGTGATGGATCATCCATTGAACATCGAGTATAATCAAATACCACCGCATGCTGCAAAACCAGCACCTTACAATTCGCATCCATTGATGCAATCTATTTGCAACCCACCTCCACCACCACCACCCCATCAACAACAACGGCCTCAGCATCCGGCGCAAATGATACCGCCGCATTATCAAGTGCCAATCTCTCAAACATATCAGCCACCGACACCACCATGGATGAACTAAGATTATTTCATATGATATTTGTTCTATATCCATATATTGATAAAATTGATATAAAAGATCTTTCATGGAAGATCGAATTAATATGGATCGTTAAATTGATTCTGATCAATAATTCGTTTTTGATTTGTTCCTTGATAAGTTATACATATATATATAAATTTGTTTGTCAAAAGGGAAAATCATATGAAATGAGAGAGAGAAAGAGAGAGAAATGGAATTGAAACTGGCGAGTGANGTTATTGAATTATATTGTAAAAAAGGAAGTACATAGTTACGATATATTGTTCTGTAAAAATTTGTACATATTTCAGAACCTCTATCTAAGTTATGTAAATTATAAGGAACGAATGATAAATTTATTATTAACTATAAGTATATGAAAAAAAAAGAAAGCGATGTTGAAGCATCATTTTTATTCGTATCGTTTCAAAGTAAAAAAAGAAAAAGAAAAAAAACAATACTTAGTTTGTGTAATTAAATTTTAATTATATATTATTAAGTAATGATCATTCGCTTTTTGATTAGCTGTTATAAACGTTTCATTTCGTTTTTTCTTTTTGTTGCAATTGAGATCATATTCGTTTTTTTTTTCGTTTATTCGTTAGACGATGATACTTTATGGAGTATGTAATTTTTTATGAAGACACAAATAAATAATAAATAATTAAAGAAACTTGATTGCGAGTGTGTTCAATAACATATATCACAAACGAAAGCACGTTGTAATATAAATATCGAAACGTTAAATGGAAGAAAATTATGAAACACTGACGTTGATCAGGAACCGTTCTCTGCTTCGTTGTAAACTGTTATCAAGCAAACATCGTTAAAGCCTCTGTGTTTTCGCTTCTAATTGCTCGTTGCCCTGATTAGTGTTATGACCTGCCGAGCCCCTGTGAACAGGAAACGACGACTAAACTCGCTTGGCTTACGTCTACAGGCTTTATGCGAATTTCCAGTTCTATATCTCGATTGAACTTCCCATCAGAAAGTTATGAAACTATGAAACAATTCACTACCGTTTGCTTTCCCAATCACGATCGATAGTTGGACAGCTCGGATATAACGGATATACCTAATATAACGTTAAATTATTTTCACGAAATAAATGTTTAATTTGAATAAATCGATTTTGATAATCGATTAGAACGTACGATGATAACAACACGGAAGAAAAGAAATTAATTCGGGGGGGATCAAATATATATATATAACCAAATAAAATCTTGAATATTTGAAGATGTGATCGAACCTATCGGAATTATTTTTCCAAGATGTCACAAGGTTGTCCATCTGTTTCTCATCAACTTGTCGCAGCATCTATTGCCTTTCGTCGTGCTCGTAAAAAATTTCCTAAAGATTACGGCGTTAGATCTAAAGAAGAAGACATCAAAGTAATTTAACAACCGATATATGAGGAAATTTTAATTAGAAAAATGTGTCGCAATAAATATATCGATGAAAACTTTTTTATAATCCTAGACCGAAGTAAACTCGATTACAAAGAACAATAATGATCTGCCTGCTAGCTCTTCGTCCGCGAAATGTATGAGCAACAACGATAAATCACAGTGTTTTTGTTCACCATCCGTGTACAGCGACGATGGTCCACGTTATTTGTCAGCTAAACAAAGTTTATCGATTAGACAAAGCAAATGTACGTGCTGTCGACGTAACAAAAAAACTTCTGAAGAAGAATATACGAGAAGGGCCAATGATCAGAGTGCTGTTGGCGATGTCTTAGACAAAGTATCAACTCGAGAACCTTTTATAGAAGAAATTCAATTGGGAAAATCGATAAATCGATACAAGTGAGAATCCTATCATCGGTTAAATGAATATGAGATTAATATTAAACGCAAATAACTCATTAGAATTTTTTCTATAAAGTCACGACGTCGATGTAGACACGAAGAATAATAGTACACATTTATCTAGAAAAAAGTGTACTTGTTGTCCAATATCTAATAAAAAACCTATCGATACTGATCCATCTAAATTAGATTCTCTTGATCTTTTATACGTCGCATCGAACGAGAAACATTGTCACGTTAATACTATGAACAATCACGGTGAGTTTTATCTCGTTATTAAATATTAATCTTTAATTAATAATTATTAGGGTGAAACAAAAGTTCGTGCGTTTATTGTGTTGAAACTTTACTTTGAAATTGTATAATGGATTGTTTGTGTAAAATTTACATTGGAAATATTAATTTTAAAATGCACGAACTTTTGGTTCATTCTAATAAATATATATATATATTAATATCTGAAAATATTTGTGATATCACTCGTTAATTTTATCTCACGTATTTTGATCAGCATCGATCTAAAGAGAATTGTAAAAAAAATCTAGAAAATATATAAAAACAAACATTGTGTTTCAGAGTGTCTCATTGAAGATGAAACGTTTGACCATTTTTCACGAAGTAACCAGGTTGATCAGGATGTTCGTCGATCGTGTTCGAAATTAGATAGGTCGTCGACAAGGAAAGAAGAAGATATCTCACCTTTGCTCCACACGTGTGACCCTCGTTCCCCACAAGGCATTAACCTCGATCTCTTACGATCTCCCGAAGACCATCGACCTCGTCTATGCCATCGTTATCCTGCTTGTCCTCGTCATTCCTGTCGACAACGACGATGCTACTCTTGTCAGCAAAAAAGGTTTTCTTTTTTATTTATATACAATATTTTTCAAGAGGTATTATTATATCTATTAATCAATTTTTTTTTTTAATATTTGAACGAAACCTACGATGACATTGATATTAATTGAAATGTTGATTATGCAACGACTCCGAGATGGCTAACGAACGATTAATATTTATTAGGATGAATCAAAAGTTCGTGACATTTATTGTGTTGTTTCTCGGATAATGCAATTTTTGTTGAAGTCAATAAAAATTACTTTATATGCAAGTGAAATATTAATTTAAACAAAAAAAAACACACGAACGTTTGGTTCACCCTAATAACTACTTTTTTTTTCTTTTTTATATTTCAATTTTAAATCAATAATAGGAAAAAAAAGTATATTCCATTGAAAAAAGAACAAAAATAAGATCGAATAAAAACACACATCGGTTTCATAAGAAATGCAAAAAAAAAAAAAAAAAGAAAAGAAAACTTAATAAACAAGAAAGAAAATAATTCAAATCAATTAGAGAAAGTAGTCTCTCGTACGTACACCCCGACACGAGATAGATTTTAAACACAATTACGAAAGATCTATACGAACGTTTCTTTCTCTTTTTTCTTTCATCCCCCGCTCCCAACCCTCCATTGCTCCGTTTTCTGTCCCTTCAAAGCGAAAGGATTTCTAATTTTCTCCCGGTTGGTTGCACGTGCACGTCTATTCTTGGTAATCGTCGAAGTTGTTCGTGGAAAGATCACCACGAGAGGATACGAATTTGTAGAAAGAAGGAAGGGGACGAGGAAGAGGAACATGAGAACGTAAGATTTATTGATCACAAGGATTCGATATCCATTCTCATGGAAAAGTATAAATCGAGAGAAGCGTTGGATATAACCGAGGATAGAAAAAAAAGGAAAAATCGAGCCAAGGGAAAGGAAAAAATCGGGAATCGTAATAACGAGGATTCGCAAATTTCTAGAATTCTCGTTAGCGAAAACAGAAAGGATTGTAGTAATATGGAAGTCTTAGAAAATTCTAAGAGTTGCGATCGCTGTAGATGCCATGAAAATCGTCTAAGGTGGAAAAGGGAGGAGGAAAAGGTACTTTTGCTAGAGGAGGAAAAGGATCAAGAGAAGAAGATTCTGCTGCTCGATGATAGCCGTAATCGGATTCGTGGCGAAGGCGATTTCTATCGTAGGAAGAAGAAGCCACCCCGATCGAAATTCGGAGTACCCTGGAGACATACCTTTTGACGACCCTAACCCCATATACCAGTTAAATTTTCTATACACATGCTTCTTTTTATATCTTCCTTCTTTCTTTCTTTTTTTTATTATTATATCCAATTTTTATATATACGTATAGGATTTTTATGTCAAACCTTCGTTGTTGTTCTATGGTATTTACATTATATATTTCATTTATTTGAAACATTTCCTTTTTATGATATCCTTATAGAACTGATTAATAATATATATGTATTTTATATCTTTTGTAATCCTTTGTATTAGATTATTATTATTATTATTATTATTATTGATATTACCTTAAAGTAATTCCAGTAAAAAGAATAATCAAAAGTTACGAAATTCGATCAGTTTTTCACTTTATTGGGCTTTAGTAAAACTGTTTTCGGTACTATTTAATGGCGCTTTTAAAAATTCTACTACAAGCATCGGTCCTGCAAAGTTAATGATCGTGGCAACAGTTAATAAAACTCACGGTTAAGAAAAGTTCGGTGCTTACTTTGCAAACGTTACCGGAGTACCGGTGGAAATTATCGAACGTGGCCACTTACATTAACCTGCCGTGTCGTTTGCAGGAGTGGCCTCGTGGGGCATTTCTTGTTCTTCCTCTTGTTCTTCCTCTTGCTCTTCATCTCGTTCTATTTTTTCCTCCGCCACGTTACGACTTTCAACGTTAATCGACTCACCAGCTGGATCTAAGCCGTATTCGACTTTTAGTTTCACGCTTAACGTTTGCTTTTATTTCAACTTTTCTACTTTTTTTTTCGTTATATCTATGTCTATCTGCTCTGTATTTGTGTGCATGTGTATGCTTCTAAAAAGCTTTTCCGTTAATGAAATGCGAAACTTTGAAATTGTGTTCTACCGATTGTAAGAAATGAAAAATATTAAGATACTTTCTGGATTTTAAAAGATTTCAAATGTTCTAAGTAACAATATTTAAAAAATATTATATTAATACGTTTGACACAAGATATGAAAAAATATTGTTAATAATTTCGAGCCGTGTAGTTGTTGATTTATATTGTAAAATATATTTTTTGCCTAAATTTTAATTACCTTTGATCGAAATTTCGTCATCTTCAATTTTTGACGTTTCCGATGACTCCATCATCTCTTCTTCTTCTTCTTCTTCAATCGTTTCGTCCAATCGTATCGTTTCTACAATCTCAGGTTTCGTATCCGTTTCTTCTTCGTGTTCTTTTAATTAATTCAATTAACATAGAAAAAAGAAAATCCGATTATCTTTATTCGTGATATCTACCTTTCATAGAAACTCTTGAATGTTTTAAATGATCCTTATACATTTGTTGAAGTAATTTACTAGCTTTTTCCATATCTTCTCTCGTACCAAATTTTTCTGGAATGTCATCGCGCGAAATAACTTTGTCGAAAACATTTTGACGTAAAACGTCAAGAATGCCTTCTACTACAAGAGACCTTGAGGAAATCACCTTTTGAACACTGAGAAAACCTTTCCTCATACGATGCTTGTTGTAAGCTTTCTGACGAGGATTAAAGGATTATTAAAACACTCATTTTATTTTCCTTCTATACGTAGGGAGATTATTACTTTTATATTATTAATTAAGATGAATATTAAATGTAAAACATTTCAATAGAGATTATATTGTTATTTATAAATAACATAAGATATATTAGTATACTTCAATTTAAAAGCTAAATATTATAATAAAAGATTACTTGGATGACCCTAGCAGCATTGTTAGCAATTTCAAAACTCAAGTTTGAATCCTCGTATATCATTTCCAACCATGCAACAGCTTGTACGGTTTGTCCAGACTCGATGGTAAAACCATGCGTTTTCTTCTTTTCTTTCTTGCTTTTCATTTTAACTGAAAATCACGCGATACTAACGTTAACTTTTCTGTTATATCTTTTTCCTTTTTTCTTTTTTTTTTTTTTAACCACGACGATTCCTTCAATTTCTCACATGTTTTTCCCTCCGTTTCTTTATTCATTTGCATTCTTAAATTTCTATTTGTATAATATCCACGATAAGCTGTCTATATTAAAACAGATAAATTAATTTTACGAAAGATATCATTGTGATACTAATTAGAAAAAAAAAAAAATAAAATGTTATAAAAATATACTTCAATTATTGGTAAAGATCTTGTTATTTCTTCCTCTGGGACATTAGATTTTTTCAAAATATTCATAGTATTCATTAATGCTCTCTGCCATTGAATTTTTCCTTGAGATTCAGCGAGTAACATTCTGGCACGATGGCCACGAAAAGCTGCCTAATATATATCAAAGATCAAAAATAATTCTTCCTTTTTCCTGTACTTTTTTCTCTCTTACTATAATAATGTGTGTGCATAAAATAAAAGAAAAAAAAAAAAACGAGCAAATAATATTGATTACTTGTATAATCGTGGCAGCTTTGTCAGCTTGTTCAATATCAATTCCGGTAGCATGAAAAATATCTCTCAAAGAAATCCTCGATTTTTCGTCCAATTTTTCATCTGAATTTCCATATATATCATTAATTATTATATACGAATATTAATAAAATGAATGAAAATTATTTAATTATATTTTGCACCTTCGCATGTATTCTGTCGACCATCGATGATATCCAAATACGTACGAAATGCTTTCTAAATACAATCGAAAAGAATAAGATTATATACTCCGATTACTTGGACGTCTTATTAATATATATATAAACTAATAAATAATTATAATTAATACTTGAATTCTCGGTGCTGCTGCAGCAATTTGTTCTATGCTCAAACCAGTTCGATAAAGTATACTCATTATCGTTTGACTTCCTTTTAATATATTATTTACGACTTTAACCGCGACTATAAATACAAAAACGATAACAATTAATTAATTCATTTAATCGATAGAAAAAAAAGAAAAAACTAAAATCAAGTTTATCAACCTTTAGCATTTTCACGAGTAATCAAAAGAACATCCATGTAATCGGCAATGAATGAATAAATTTCTCTTGGCTGTGATCTCAGAACCTTCAGATTGTATAAATATTTTGAAACATGTTGTTTATCGTTGTATTATTGTAAAAATAAAAATCTCTAAAAAAAAGATAAAAAAAAAAAAGGGAAAGAAAAGATATTGTGTATACACCTCGCGTGTAATGTCGGTACAAAGCTCACGTAATCCTTCGGGGACTCTATAGACGTGTTTGGCGCCGTGTTTCTGAAGCGTAACATCCATTTTTATGGCTGCTGTTCTGGGCTCTCTCTTTCTCCTCTCTTTTACTATTTTTTCTTTTTTTTTTCTTTTTTTTCTCTCTCTGTTTTTTTCTTTTTCAGATTGATCTTTTATAGCCTCAAATTGACGAATCCGTTTGTCGTAGAATTTGTCACGAAGTCAAACACGCGCAACTCGATTTTCAAACCTTTCGCATTTAATTCACAATTAGGTACGAACCAAACTTCGCTTTTAATCGTTCGCAATACGAATTAATTAATATCGATATAGTCATAACGAATTAATTAATATCGAAATAGTCATAACGATTGATTTTTATATATTATCAGGCTTTCAATCTCACGTTTAAAAGTACGTATGATATGTAAAGAATTTTTGGTTATTGTTTTTTTTGTTTCTTTTTGACTCGGACAAAATGAACTATCGATAACTATCGTTCAATCATATTTCTCTCTATTTTATATAAGGTTAAGAGTAAAGCTTTGTAGACACACTCAAAAGATACGATATTCGTAATTTCAAAGAATGAGGTGCTTTATATGTTGATTTTATATTTTTCTTGAGTACGGCATAGAACAGATAAAGGTCCTTAAAGGAATAAAAAGGGACTACAAATCTTTACGTAAAAAGAAGTAAAAATAAAGGAAAAAGTGTTACATTTTTATGAACCTTTTTTTTTTTGTGATTCCTCGAGTTACACATAAGATATCATGCAAATTTGTTTACTATCAAGAATCACATTGAAAAAATATCTCGAAGTAAAGAGAGGAAGCAGATTTGTTATTATTAATCCTTAATTTTTGCGTTTGGTTTTTTTTGCAGCAAATGAATATTTATTTTGAAACAAAATTATTTAAAAATAGGATTTTAAGTTTAAAATATTTTCAGCTCGGTTCTCTGTGACCCAATATGTTATCGGATAAAGGCCAACATATACATATAAAGGCAGTAACATATACAAAATATAATTAATTTACAAATATATAATACATACATAGTAGAAAATACTATGTGGATTACAATTTTATTCTTTTCAAGAATATTTTTTGATGAGGTACGTTACGTTCTTGACATACCTTTTTTAAATGAAATAAAAAAGGAAACAAAATTCGACGTTTCCTTTACAAAACAAATCCATCAAAAATCGAATAACAAAAATAATTAATTTTGGAATTAGATTAACAAAAATTCGTATCACGGTAAACGATAAGAATTTTAATTGAAATTGAGCTCGTATTACGTTAAATTGTATCTCGATATTTTTTTTAAGTTCTTGTGACTCTGTTTAAATATATTATTATATTAGAATATATAGCGTTTGATGTTATCCATGTAAAAGAGAAAACGGAAAGAGAGAAAAAGAGAGAGAGAGAGAGAGAGAGAGAGAGAGAGAGAGAGAGAGAGGGAGAGAAATCAACTGGTCGGTCGTTGAGAAGAGACGAGCGTTAAATTTTATCGCGTTTCGACGAAAATTTACACCACGAACGTTTCTACGAAACATTGTAACGCATACAGCGAGACATTATTAACGGTCTGGTGATCGTAACTTCTGGGTAATTCCATTAGAGACGGAATAAAGTTGTATGTGCAATGTTGAAAGATAGAAAGAGAGAAAATGATAGAAAGAGAATCATCCTGACGAAGATTGTCTCGGTTCGATGAGTAAGTTAAAAAGCTGTTTCTATTATTTATGCAATAGAATATACCATTAACAAGTGTTATAGATGTTGAATCTATTATTACCCTATTGTTATATTTAACTCATTGTCAATTCGTATAACTTTTCAAAGTAAGATTTTATGTATAACGAGATTTATACTGAAAGTGAGTATTGAAGTATTATATAAAATACGATTATGAGTCAATGATTTATCAAATGGATTACTTTTCGACAGAATAAAAAGTCAAGAAAATAGATAAAATTATTTACATTCTTGTATCATTAACCAGAATTTTATGCCATTGACAAAATCAGATATTTAATGAGATATTTTTTTTGAAATATTCAAGATATCTCCTTTAGCAGAGTTTTTAGGATAGCTATCCATCGATCGTACGTCTATAAAAATCGATCATGAACGAACGAACGAACGAATGAACCATGATCGTTCACATTTTACTCACTATAGTAGTTCTTTCGTTCTTCATTTTCCTATTATCATCGCGTGAGTAACTTACATAATTCATATCAAACATAATCATACCTGTTATCATGCGATCATCTATTAATCTTGTTATACTTTCTTTGCTAACTTCGAGAATTTATTATTTTCAATAATGTGTTTGTACAAGGTCACGTTTATTTAGAAATTTTTAGAAAAAATCGATTATTCATAATTATGACTTTTTAAATGTCCCTGTAATCGATCATAAACCTAAAGATTCCATTAGTGCTTTGTAACTAACTCATTAGCGTAACGAGTACAAATTATTCTAATCTATTGAGCTATTAGAACGATATCTAACTTATTGGTGGTTATTATCCTATTTGCTGGTAAATCACATTTATCGTTAGATAATACCGTATAGATTTCGATATATGTCATATTGCGTCCAGCATTATATTGATTCAACACGTATTCATATTTAATTATTATATATAGATACGTACTAAAGAGGAAAATCGATAAAATTTACAGTATAATTTCGTATAAAATTACATTTTTTTCTTGTGCAATTATTCAATTAGTAGAAAATAATTTTTCTAGTAAAAAAACCTCCGACCAGGAGGCAATTGAAAGGATCACGTTTTGATTTTGATCCTTTAAGTCAAGAAGGTCCACTACTTCATTCGGATTTTTATGAATCACCAGAGTTTCGAGATCTCTTAAAAGATTTAGAAGATCTTCTCCTCCTGGTAGAAAGGCACTCGTCAGAAGAATGGCTTCCAGATATGAACGATGATAAAATTAAAAGACCACAACAAGATTAAGAACCTGTTCTTAGATCCAAATCTGACGATGGAAACAACGAAAATAATTCTGAACGAGAATGCAGGTAGTTAAAAAATAAATATAATAAGCATTTAAAATGTATTCTATTTATAATGAACATTTTATACTTGTATATATTAATTTTTGTTGCACGTTAATCGCATAACCGACGAGTTTTAACTTGGGAGTAAAAAATGTGTATCAAATAAATTAAAAATGTGGCTGCTGTGATCACAGAGACAAAATTGACTGCGTTATGCAAGGGTGTTTAATAATAAATGAACAAATTTTTTTTACATTCAAAGGATCATGTAGATTTGTATATTTAAATTAAATGTCGAGTTTGAGGGGTTGGGCTCGTTTTGTCAGATTAGTCTGAAGGGGGTACATAGGGTTAAAAAATGAACGTCCCCTTTCTTTTTCATCTTCGATGTTAACCTAGATAAAAATAACATTTTGTATTATTCAATCAAACCCCTTCGGTTTGGAGAATAGTTACCAAGCACGGAGTTATTTTTTCGTGGAAATGTTTAACGAGCACTGTGCTATCGTTATCATGCCAAGCCTCGACGAAGAATCGCGGTAGGAATCATCGCGAATAACACGCGAATAAGCGGTTTGCAATAATTAATCAGCCGCGCGTGCGGCTTACGTGTAATTTGCAGACCGCCGAGTCCCACGGGTGGATGTATTCTGCCTAAACAACCTGACGGTGGCCTGCAGTACGAGTTGGGTGGATGCGGTAAAGCCTTGTAGACTGAAAGCAGGCGATAAAGTCCCTAGGAGTAGTATTCTCACTTACTCTTGTAATGGTAATTACGTGCTCAGTGGGGAAACACCATCGCAACGTATGCGTAAATGACGAATGGCACTAACCGCCTCCTACTTGTCAGAGTAAGTGATCAAACTATTATTAACGCCATTGTTGGAACGATTTCCTTTTGCGCGTCTATCTTATTTAATTATATAATTAACTTGAAAAGATTTTATAACCAATATAGATACCAAAGCTTTCTGTTAATATAATAGAAAAATACGTAAATAGCGCAGATGAAGTTAAATAGTTAAATATTATTTTCCATTGACCGTAACGCGTTAAGAAACGCTTTCAACTCTGGAAAGTATTACCGTGGATAATCTCGTGTACTTATCAGGAAGAAACCGTATCGTGCGATGAAAACAGTCAAGAAGACCAGGAACACGAGCAAAGCTCTCTTCTCTCTTTCTCTCTCTCTCGTGTAAACAATCTTATAATTTACCACCCACAGACGACCCAGTCTATCGAGGGAGATCGTCTACCTCGACGATGCTCTTTGAGATGGTAGAGAGAGAGAGAGAGAAAGAGTCTTCTTCAGCAGCTTGCCAGGTAATTTACCTTCCAGACAGATATATCTTTCCTGTTTATCTTGGAAAATATGTTAATCCTAATAAAAGTCCTTTCAGAAATGGTGCTTCACTTGTATTCTCGAATTCTCTTTAGAATGTGAGACGAGTAAATCTCATAGTAATATTCTCATTTAATATTGTTAATAGTTTCCTTCGCAAAAGTCGTCATTTTCTTTTTCACCATGCACACGTTCTTATCTATTTGAGAGAAAAAAAAGAAAAACAAACATACAACAATAGTTTTGTACAAATATATGCGTTTGAATTTTAATAAGCAACGATCTTGTAGTATACTAAGTAACTATGTTATATATTGTATAATTTAAACGAAAAGAGAATGGGTGAGAAGAAAAATAATGGGAAAGGAAGAAAATAGAATTTAGTTAGATACTTCGTTGATAAATTTTCCATTCCAGTCGCGCGCATTGTTTCTATGACGAGAGGTATTCGCCAAAATCGAGGACGAGTCTCACGCTACTATGTTGCCGTCGGCAAGCATTATAGAAGTTGGGAAGCTCGAGAGAACTATGTTCAGAAAGCAACCACCGAGAAAATCATTTTGCCTGACAGTTACATCGGTGCTAGAGGAAATTACGTTCAAGATATAGTCCTGCTTAAATTGGTGAAGCCTTTCGAGTTAACCAGTCTTATATTAGTTAAACCGATATGCCTTGATTGGGATAA